AGTGTTAGGGCTTTTTAAAGGAGGGAGGAAAATAATGTCTACAGCTATAGGCTATTGAGCATTACTTCAATTCCAGAGAAAATTCTAGAATGGAGCACTAAAAATATAATTGGCAAGCATCTAGAAAAGGAATCAATGACTATAAATGGCCAGGATATCTTCATCAAGAATAGGTCATACCAAACTAGCTTCACTTTTTTACAGGATTAATAAACATGGAGATGAGGGATATGTTATGAATATATAGTGTACCTCAATTTTAGCAAAGCTTCTGATAAAGTATCTCACGCTATTCTTGTGGAAAAGATAGGAAGATAAGGATTAGATTATACAATTATGTATATTTAGAACTGGTTAGAAAACTCAACTCAAAGAGAAATTAACAAGAGGTCTCCAGTTGAGTACCCCAGGGATGTGTGCCTGACCCTGTGCTGTTTAACATTTTTATCAATGACTTAGATAAAGGTCTAGAGGACATGCTACTTAAATTTTCAGATGACAAAAAGCTGAGATAACTAGTGCAGAAGATAGAGTCAGGATCCAAAAGGATCTTGACAGGCTAGAGAATTGGGATGAATCTAATAAAATGAAATTCAACAGGGATAAATGTAAGGTCTTCCCTATAAGCACAAAAAACAATCAAATCAACTTCACAGGTGTAAGATGGGCAAGCTTGGTTATATTACAGTTGTCCTAAAAAAACCTGGGGAATTTCGTGGACTTTAAATTCAATATGAGTAATTAGTGTGATGTTATTACTGTATTAAGAAAGGTATAGCTTCCAGAAATAGAGAGGTAATAGTTCTACTGTACTCTGCCCTCATCAGATCTCATCTACAGTACATTGTTCACTTCTAAGTGCCATGGGTCCAGAAAAGGGCAAAGAAGAAGATGAAAAGGCTTAAGTTTACGTCGCATGAAGATCAACTGAAGAAATGAGGCAGGTGGAAATAGAAGAGAAGCCTAAGAGGTGATGTGATGCTATCTTTGAGTATCTACAGGGATATGATATAAAGAAGGGTTTATACTTATTTTTATTAGTCCAAGTAAACAGAACCAGGAACAATGGATGAAAGTTGCAAAGGGGAAAATTTAAACTTGATACTGGAAAAACCTTCCTAATAACTAGAGCTGACCCAAAGCGGAAAAGCTGTCTTCACAGGTAGTTTGTCCTCCCTCTTTTCTAATATGATGTAGTCAGAATTCTTTTTGGATAAAATGGCCACTGTAATCCTTTCCAATCCCAAAATTCTGTGACTCTGTACTCTCCTGCTTTTTTTTTTGGACAGTTAGTAGACCAAGCAGATCTGGGAAATATCATAGCTAGACATGATGGCAACAATGATAACTTGTTAAGATAACTCCCATTTTTATACAGAAATAACTCCTTACGGTAATTTCCATTAAAGTGCTTGCGCCACAACAAGTCTTATGAAGTATGTAGTACAAGTATTATTACCATATTACAGAAGATCCTCAGTTTTGAGCCTCAAAGGAGATAAGTGGTTTACCTATGGTCTACACAGCCAGCAAGTGAAGGAGCTTTATAGAGGAAGCACTTTATAAAATCCTGTAAAATTTACGAAATGCTTTATTCTACCTGGATTTCAGCAAGAGATTTGACAAATTCTTTCATGATATCCTTAAGATATGTGACTTAATAATAGTACTCAAAGTACAATAAATAATGGATTGATATTGATTTGAAAGGACATCTCTAATGAAGTGCCATGGGGTCTGTCCTTAGTCCTGTTCAACATGTTATCAGTGACTTAGGTTAATTTTTTTATCCATTTTATGAAGGACAGTAAGCTAGGACAGATAGCTAATACATTAAATGATAGAATCAGAATGCAAAAAGATGTATAAGTGGGGAAAATTGTGAGAATATAATAATATTAAATTTAATAGTGACAAATGTAAAGTACTCTGCTTGGGGATTTAAAATGCATAATTATATATGAGGATTATATGGCTAGACAGCAATTCATACAAAACAACTATAATCTACAGGTTTTAATGGACAATGAGCCCAACATGACATAACAATGAGACATGGCAACCCAAAAAAAGCTAATGTGATACAAGCAAAAGATCCAAAAGCAGTGAGTTGGAAACCTCAAGTACTCTGCCCTTAACAGATAACATTTCAAGTATTAGTTTAGCCCATTATATGTTATTTTATTTTTCCCTCACCAAGTTATCTTATATCAATAATAATAACAACAACAATAATAAAAACTCACATTTATATAGGATTTTAAGGTTTGAAAGGCCTTTACATACCTTATCTCATTTGTTTATCACAACATACCCTGGGATAGGTGCTATAATCATACCCATTTCACAAATGAAAGAATTTAATCTCAGCAAAATTAAATAAGCTTCCCAGGATCATACAAGTACTAAGTATCTGAAGCAGGAATTGAACCTAGGTCTTCCTGGTTCCAAATCCAGAGTTCTACTTAATTACTCATGCTGCCTTTATGTACTATTGCCCCAGTAGAATATAAGCTCCATGAAGGCAGGCATAATTTTCCATTTTGTTTTCATATCTCCAAGAGGGAACACAGTGCCTCAATTATAGCAAGTGCTTACTAAATGCCTGATGACTTAAATTATGATAGGTTTCTTCCTAGTGCTATGCTGCACTAGAAGCAATTAGCATCAAACACCTAACTCTAGATATGGTCCCTGATTTTCACTGAAATCAGAGAAAAGCAGTAGGAATACAACCAAGTCTTCTATGCTACTTTGTTCCATCCAAAGACAGCAAATCATACATGCAGGAATGGAGTGACATACTAATAGAACTCTAGCATGAACAGAAAGGTAGCAAATGAAAATAACAAATAACAGCTTCACCTAACTTTTAGAACAATTATCAAAAATATTTTTTTTCCTTTTGAAACTTCTGCAACTTATCATATATATTAATTTGCACTAGATATATGCACTTGCAAAAGTCTTATTTTGATATTTTACCAACAATACAATACTTTGGAATAGATTAGCCCAAAATATTTACAAATATAGGGAGGAATAATAAAAACATATAATGGATTTTTAAAAAGTACCTGCCTTCTACTCTTCTCTAACCTAACCATCAACCTTCCAAATCTATCAGATTAACATATTTTAAAAATTTAATAGAATCTAGTTAATACATAATTGTCACTTTTTAACCTTTTAACCATAATCTAAGAATAAAAAATTGAATTCAACTAAATAATGCAAACTTAGAGGAAAATAAAAATGACATATATCACATATATAATTTTACATGATTTCACTGTGCTGAAATGTCTGTACTGTAGACAAAAAAAGTCTTCCATTGAAAACTTACCTGTGATCAGTTATGACAAAATAATGAATTTGTTATTAATTCAATTTTATTCTAACTCCATCTTTAATATGGAATTATATTTAAATTCCTAAGTTTGCTCCCTTCTTACAAATCAGCTGTTTCAAATAATATTCTGCTAGCTAAGCTCAGAAACTTACTTTGGAAAATGTCAGAATTTTTTTTTATTAAACACATGTAAAATATATAATCACACTTAAAGGATGTGCAGTTTCATTGGTGTGGATACTCCCTCTACTGACACAGATCTCAACATCTGCAAGTTTTTAGTAGACAATCTCTAAGGGTGGTTGTGACCAAAAAATTCATCACCCTTTCTCCAACTTGGTGATAGGCTTCTCAACCTGTAGGTTGGTCCTTGAATGACAGACACACTAATCTATATCTCCAGGCCTGTTCATGAAGCCTTATGAAGGCTTTCCATCTTAGAAGGGCCTGTCAAAGCTTGTGGTCTGCCAGTAGATTTCAAGAACCTGGGTTATTTCCATACCACAAGAGGCATCAAAGTAGAACTTTAGTGGAATTAAAAATATATAACTATGTAAATATGGATATATATATATATACATATATATACATATATATACACATATATATATATACACACACACACCACACACACACACACGTGTGTGTGTGTGTGTGTGTGTGTGTGTGTATGTGTGTGTATGGATAGAGAGGCAGATATAGATAGTGGCTTGGACCATTAAAAGAAAAATATAACATTATAGTTACATTCATGCTTAAAGTTACTCCTATCTTTGCTATCTTTTCCTAAGTTTACATTTTTAAAAAGCAACTTTGAAAAAGAAAAAAATGCTTAATTCTTCTTGTCTTTTAAATTTTTTCAGTGTGCCAAGCATTGATTAAATACTGTTAATGGAAAGCACAAATTCAAGACACATAATGTATACTGTATTTTTTAAAATGTATACAGATGTGAAATGAGTCAACTGTAGGAAAAGGCTGATGCCAGTCATTTGCTACAAAGTTAGGAAGACTCATGTTACAGGGTATTACTAAAGGCATATTTTAAATGATTATTTACTTGAACTTCCATTTCAAGAAAATAGGTATAGATTCATGAAGGGCTACACATACCAAAAATTCACCATTTTGTGTAGGAATTAGAAAAAATACATGCCTCAAGTAATAATTGTAATGACAATATTATCTGGTAATATTTAATGTTTTACATTTCACAAAGCACTGTGTAACCATGACGTAAAGAGGACATACACGTATCATTCCCACTTTTAAAGATAAAGAAGGTTCAGAGGTTAAAAGTCTCAGTCATGGTCTCCCAACACGCACATTTCTGAGTAGGAACTCAAATCTGTCTTTCTGGATCCAAGTTCAGTGTTCTTTCAGCTATACTACAAAGTAGCATACATCATAACATTATTCAACTACATTAATTCAATTTCAATTAAAACAAATACCAATAATAATTTCAAATAGCAGAAAGTAATACCTCCTTTTACCAACTGTTAGTAGCTGTTATGCCCTTTCTGCTGAAGTTCTAGAGAGAGGCTTATACCCTTTCTGCTGAAGTTCTAGATCCAGGGTTACACTTTTCCTGCTGAAGTCTTCAATAAAAGGCTACAATGTAACAGCTGCACACTGTAAAACTCACCGTCATTCTGGCTTTTGCTCTTCATTTCTTCCTTCCATGATGGAATGTCTTTCAAAGGAACATAATCCCTCACGTATTCTTTGCGTCTCTCTTCCAAGGTCATCTTCAGTAAACGTTCTTTTAAAAAAATGCAAATCGTCATTTTTATTTTTTAAACTTTAAAACTTAGTATTATTTTGCATTTAAGTTTTTAAAATGTTACTGGCCTCATGAAAAAGTTGAAGTGCTCTTGAGTAACACTCCCAATAAAATAATTTCACAATTTTAAGTATTAAATACTTAATAAATTGTAGAATTTTAGAGGTGAAAGAAACTTTAGAATTAATCTCATTTTGCTGAAAAACTGAGGCCTAAAGAGATGAAATGACTTGCCCATTTTCTTTCCACTATTGATAAAACCTGGTCACCTTACTCCCAATCAAGAATCTTTGCCCTATACCCTGCTGCCTCTCAATTTTTTTGGACTGATTAAGGATAAAAGTAAAATAAATTTTACTCTGGAAGAAAAAAATAGCCAATGTTCATAACATCCATGTTTAGTTGAGGAAGAGTACTTCATGTTATTCTTTAAAAAAAAATAAAAATAAAAATATTTACAATGATTAGTTACTGTTGAGATTTGAGAAGATGATCTGTACCTGTGATTTCATGGTATGAGGAACTCTAGTTGAGGAAATTCCCTCTACCAATGCAAATTAGCAATTCCTCTGCAATGTAAGATTCTTAGTAAATTATTTAGGGCACCCTGCCCATGGTCACACACTTAGAATGTTAGAGACAAGATTTGTACCTAGGTTCTGACTACAGGGCTAGATTTTTATCTATTATATAGCACACTGCCTCTCACTGTTTAGGTTCAGAGAAGTTATAAATAACTGGTTTTATAAATGTTAGTCATAACTTATAGGAATGTCATTTGACACTTTTCATACTGTAGTGATTTAAAATTTTAAATGAGAAAACAAAAACAATAAAGGAAACAAAAACAACAAAATATCAAAAGCAAAACCCACCTACAACTATATAGAAGATAATTCACATTGGAAACTTGAAATTATAAAACATATTTTGATAAAATGTAAGCTGTCTATCTCCAGTATAATGTTCTTTTAAGATTCAGGTTCAAAAATTCAGAGCCAAGGACATTAATTTACCAATGTATGGACTTGAGAACTTTAGCAGGCTATTTCTTTAAACCAGAAAATAAATAAATATGTGGGAATAAACATATTAATTTCATAGGAGTACAAGGGGCTACTTCAGCATTATGTAAAACTTATTCTTAAAGAGAAAAGCAGTTCACTTCTTAACAAATACTGTCCACATGAATCACCAAAACATGCACAATGTAATCTAAAACAATAACGCAGGCAAGCAAACATCTATTTTTATTTAGACACCAAGTTCAAATAAGTCTGCATGGGGTCTTGTCATTTCAATGAGGTATGTCAACATTACTTCATAATTTAACAACTTTAAACAAAAAAGTCATATATTTTCTAATAGGATGACTATTTAAAGTGCATAAATCCTACTTCCTCTTTAGTATTAACTGAGATGTTAACAGCTCTCAGAAAGGGAGGTCTCACTACTTTGGAGAGTAACAATCTTTAACGTGTAAGTAATCTAACAGTAGATTCTGAGATAATTCATCAACACAATCACACTTAAGTTTACATTAAAGACTTCAGGTTACAAAATTTCTCTGAAATAAAAGTTACAAGCATAATAGCTAATTTAGCTTGGGCCCACAGGCATCTTTATTATTATGTGCCATCATGATTGTGCATTTGTTTCTTCATGATTGTATAAACTGGTTACTTTTCTCTCTATGCAAATAGAAGCAAAAATGGAAAAAGAAGTTTTAAAACATCTGTTAGTCATTTATAGCTGTATGGCTATTAAAAGACAATAATACATGGTGTATTTAAAATTGGGAAACTATTTCTTTGTTATGGTGGAAAACAGATATTAAGTAATAATTTCATTTTAATCAAAATATGTAACAAAAATTTTTTCCACTAATATGCAATCATTGCTGTTAATTTTAAGATCTCAGGATCAGGAATAAAGATATATGTAATGGATTTTTAACAATATGTAAAACAAAGGTTTAAATCCTGTCTTTTCAGAAGGGCTATATGCTGTAGTTAAAATAATTGTTACCCCAAAAAAGAAAATTTACTACCAACTAAAGTTACCAGATTGCCTAAAATTCACTAAGTTCCTTTCCAGTGTTTTATTAGGACTCAAGCTTAAAGTCTTAATGTCATCATCAGTAACGAAATTTATTGGAAGGCTAGATGTTTTAGTACTCTATAAAAAACACTGTACATAAAATGGCACATAAGCTGATATCTTAGAGATCATTTTTCTAAGGTTCTAGTTCTATTTTGTTACATTAAAATATATCGGTCTTCCATATGCTTCATTTTGACAGGATTTGTTTTGACTTATAATTGTCATAATGGCCTTTACTAAAATTCTAAAAAGGAGGGAGGGTGGAATGCCTCCCAGTGGTGCTGTTTGAGAAAGACTCTATGGAGTTCTTTTTCAGTTTAAATCTCTTTCTTATCTTCTTTGTTTGCCCTTCTTGCCCATAAGGACTAGGACTTGAAATAGAAGTTTCCAATTTTTAGGTGGTAGTTTACAAGATGTTCAACTTTCCATCTATTCACTGCTTGATATTCCCACAGAGAATACTGTATACATTTAGACTACCTTACAGGGTGATGTACTGAGAGCAGTAGCACTGTAGGTATGTTTTTACATTTTTGTAAAAAGCAAAAGAGAGAAGGGAAAAAGAAATTAAAAGAAAGAGTATGTCAAAGAATGTGCTTTGTATAAAAACATCCTTTCCTGAAACGTCATTTTTTCCTTAAAAAGATATACAAAACGATCAATATAGGTTGTTGTTTTTTTAAAAACACAAAATCAATGACACTGACAATATCGACCGACTTGGATAAGCCTTGATATACACAAATATTAGGGAGCCTGTCCAAGACAGTGACATAAGTAATAAGAGCTTACTCCAAGAAACTAGTTTATCAATGGGGAGACAGAGAAAGAAAAACAACTATGGACAAGAAAAAAAAAAGCAGAGATTACTTTAAAGCTACTTATCCTACACTGACCCCACCGTTTGGGGTCAACTTCACATCGTATATACTTATCTGTTTAGGAGTGCCCACCTAGTAGAAATAATAGCCACACTTCAATCAAGTCAAATGGGACAGGGAGGAAAGACAAAACTACAAAGGTGTTGTCATTTTATGCCAATGAAAAACAAGGACGGGACAGGTCGGAGGGGGGTGGGGGGACAGAAGTGGGAGCTGGAAAAAACAGCAGCCACCACTGCCAGGTGACAGTCAGGTCGGCACGTGCAGGTGGATGTGTGAAGGTTCCAGCTGAGGCTGGAGATGGAGGGGAAAGGGGGTTGGGGGGGTGGAGAGAACAGGACAAAATCCTTCCAGGTCCAGGTCCCAACCTGGAAGGACGGAAAGGAGAAGACAAAAACAAACATCTAAGACCAAAGTGCAAGGGCAGTCTGGGAGGACCACAGTGGGGGTTGTGTATGTGTGTGTGCCCGTGCACGTGTGTGCACACTTCTGTGTGCATGTACGGGGATGGGGACGGGGATGGGGGGGGGTGGGGGGGGCACCACGAGCAACAGAAAGCTCGAGCAGAGGAGGGAGCAATCAAAGAAGAGGAGGGACGGCAGCCCGAGCGGAGGGCGGTACGGCAATCCCACCCCCATTCACCCACAACCATAAGCCACCCCGAGAAAATAAAGGGGCCGGTTACCTTTCTCCTCTTTCCACACCTTTTTCTTCCTGTTGCTGGGGTACATGTTGCCGTGGGGGTGGCTGGCTTTGAGCTGCAAGTTCCCCAGGCTCACAGGAAAAAAGGGGGGTGTGTGCGCGCGCGGGGTGGGAGGGGGAACTCGGGGAAATCCAAAAAGTGAAAGAGTCTCTGCCCCCCCCCCGCCCGCAGCCGCCGCCGCCGTCCCCCCTTCCTCCGGCTCTCCCTTCCCCGTGTCCTCACTGCCTCTCTCTTGCCTCGGGCTCCGGCTCCGATTCCCCCTCGCAAGACGCCCCGGGAGCTGCAGCCGCTACAGCAGCAGCAGCGGCGTCGGCAGCGGCAGCAGCACCAGCGGCGGCGGCAGCAGCCCCTCAAAGCCTGTCAACTAGGTCACGCCTCGCTCTAACCTAACACCCTCGCAAAGGCCCCGCCTCCCAGCTGCTGGGCGACGGCGCCTCCCATTGGCTGAACGGTCCGCCAGTCTCTCCTCTCCCCCCTCCGCGGGCAGGGGCTTCGGCCCCATGGCGCAGGCGCAGGCGCAGGCTCCCCATCCCGACGCTGTGGACGTTGGGGAGCAGGAAAAAGGAGAAAAGAATAGGGAAGTGGGGGAAGCGGGGCGGAGGGAGTGAAAGGAGAGAAGGGAAAGAAGGCAATAGGAAGGGACGGGGCGGAGCCAGAGGGAGGGCCAAGCCTGCTGGAAGGGGAGGGCTGAGGTGCCTCCTTTGCCGTTGGAAAGTGTTTGAGAGTTGACCTTAGAATGCTGCTTACAAGTAATACGTGGACTGCATGGATGACAAGCGACGTAGCAGATAAGTTATCAAAAATAATCAATTCAACTAGCATTTACTCAGCGCCCACAAAGCAAAAAGCGCTGTGCTAGGCGCAGGGGATGCGAAAATGAAGAATGGTCCAGTCCCTGCCTTCAAGGAGCTTCTCTTCCACTGGATGAGGGCTCATTCAGGGAAGCAAACCGAGGCACCGGGCAAAATAGATGAAATATATACGTCCTGGTAATAGCAAGAAGGTGGTATATATAGCACATAACTGGCCTCGAAGTCAGGAAGTCCTGAGTTCAAATCTCTGCCTTTGATACTAAGGGTGAATTACTAACTACTCTTTTACCAGGGTTTCTTACCTCATTTACAAAATGGGGACAAATCCATAGGACTGTCCTTACAGGGTTATAAGGATCAAAAGAAAATGAATATAAAGCATTTTACGAAAATTTTAAGTGCTATCTAAATGAGAGGTAGCATGTAATGAGTAGAAAGCTGTTCTAAAAGCCAGGAAGACCTGCATTCAAATCCTAACTCACACCCATGTTGGCTGCATGACCCTGGCCAAGTCATGTAACTTCTCAGTGCTAGGCTAGGCAACACTCCAAATCTGAGAGCTGATGAGGTCTTTTGCATTGGTGAAGGAAGTATCCTCTTTCCTAGTTCCCTGTGCCAACAAAATCACAGGTCTAGTCTTTATATATCAAACATTGTTATGACATTTGGGGCTGTCAGGTCAATTATTATTTATTAAAGGAACTGCAGCTTGTCTTACACTTCAAGACTGAGGGAGGTTACAAAACTGCCCAGCACTTGAACAGAAGGAAACTGGAGTAAAGTCACTCAGGCATTTAGCTGTTCAGATGATAGGATCATAGATTTAGAGCTGGAAGGGACCTGAGAGGTCATCTAGTCAACCCCCTCATTTAATGCATTAGGTTAAGTATTTTATACATAGAAGGAAGGGGAATGGTGATTCAGGGATTTCCTTAGGACATATATAGATGAGAAATCTTGTGGCATTGGTTTATGGGATAAGCAAGATAAGACAATAGTGTAGGGGGCTTGACAAGTAATGACACAAGGAGAGACACAAAAAAGATACCACTTTTTATAAACGTACAAGTTTTTAAATACCATAAGATTCTGCTCAAAGGGGCCTATAGGCATTTATATAAAATAAATTATGTGTGTCATAGAGAAAAGGCTCAAAGGCTACAGAAGACCAAAAAAAAAGGCAAACTTTCCAAACTTTTTCTCCACTGAGTACTAAAATCCTTTTACTTTTCTTAACAAGGGAGACACCCAGCAAAGGCTGAAACGATGGGAAAGTTGATCAACAAAATTAACAAAAATATTTTAATTAATTAAATTTAGTTAATTTAATTTAAAATTTCATTGAGATGATCTGAGAGATATTGTTGCTACAATGACAGTGTTTACTAATGCCCCACCTCCATGAATCAGCCACCTAAGCAAACTCTTAGATGTTTGGAAATTTTCCTAAAACTTCATCACAATGTATAATAAGCCCTTAATCAAAAAGAAAGGATCGTAGGACTTTTAGCTACTGAATAAAAGGCAAATAATGCCACTTAGGAAACATCTTGTGACTGGTCTGAGATCAATCTTAGGCTATATTTAAAAAAAAAAAAAACGGTTAGGCTACCAGTCATTTCAGTTTAGCTGTGGTCCAGTCAAACAGGGGAGAATTCCAGGTCTGAAACTACCTTGAGGAGGCAGACTCTTACATGTGTGCAAGAGGGGCAACAAGAGGGAAATTGAGCTCAGAAGCAGTGTTATATTACCTCCCCCCATTTGACCATATTATCAAAAATATGAACCAGGAAGAGCCAACACATCAAGCCAAGAGCAGAAGAAAACACACCAAGAACACACTGAAGAAAGACACAGACTAATACGCAGGCAAAAAAATAAGCCACTCTAGCAAAGAGTCAATTTCAAGGATTATGAACCTTTGCAGAAAGAAGTATAGCCTAAGGACTATATAAGGACAATGACCATCTGAGCCTAGTGTAGAGCTATACCTAAGGGGAACTTCGTGAGGACTCTATGAAGAGAGGAAAAAACTTCCAGTAACCAGGAATTGTGAGTGCCAAGATGGAATTGACCTTCAATCTACTGACATTCAACTGAGCCACAACCTTTGAAAAAGGTTTCAGTGTCCAATGGGACATAACTAGCTGAATGCAGTATCTGCCTCAGAGGCTGAGACACACACTGAGAACAAATTAGGCGCACCAAGGAAACAGCCCTAGGGAGCTAACCACTGAGAGCAGAAAATGCCAACTATGGACTCAAGAAAGACCTTCCAGTAACAGCAGTTGTGTACTTACTCTCTGGCCATGTGTATTCTCTACATGTGTACCTCACTACCATCATACTTTAAGATTTGTCACACTACCTCTAGGAACTTGGTATGTGCAAAGGGAGAATGCACCCCTAGTTTAAGAGTGGATGTTTTGTGCTAGCTACTCTTGCTAGCTCACCTTAGTAAATAGTTTTTGTAAAAGGTAATTAAGTCTAGCTGACTGATTGTCAATGGGAAGCCCACTGGGGGAGGCTCATAAGCAACAGTATAAGAAACTCCCAGCCCTTCATGAGGAAAGTAGTAGCAGCCTTCCTCTAGAAACCAAGTATAAATTAAGGACATTATGGTAGAGAGAATGCAAATACTGAATGGACATCAACTAAAATAATTTTAAGGTCCTCTATTTTCAGGGACCTAATGGAGGGATTCTTTATCTAGTACTTTCACTCTTAGATACCTTAGCTTTCAGGGATATAGTTGAGAAAAAATAGCACTTTTTTATTTTGCTTTCGACTGTAACTAGATAGTCTTTTCCAATATGATTCTTTACAAATCAAACAAGTTCCTTTTTGAGATTAACTCTTGCTTGTTTGTATATTTATGGACAGATGTTTATTCTGTTTCTATACCCCATTAACTACTTCGGTCTGCTTAAAGCACACTACTATAGCCCATAAATGTTCCTAGAGCTAGACTGCTTGCCTTATTGTGACATGAGTCCAGACTATTTGTCTGAAATTCTTATGGACTTGCAGGTCTACAGAATGAGGCTTGCCTATGGCTCAGAAACCTCAAATGATCAATCATATGTGTTAAACTCATTTTAAGAGCTTTATACCTCTTTGGACTTTTTTGAGTTTGTTTTCCTTTTTAGTTAGCCTGCTTATCTGGTGTGTAATGAGTTGGGAACTCCATTTAGATTGCCCTCATGCATTGGAAGCATCCTTTAGGGAAATTTCATTTGCCTTAACTAAAGGAATTCAGAGGAAATTTTTGTCTAGACCTCTGTAGTATCATCTTACATATGAAAGGCATCACTGGATATAGTTTTGGTACACCTTGTATGGAAAGGGACACTAGGACATGCTTTGTCTAGGCCTCCAATTAAGTTGTCCTATATGTTAAGAAGAGGCCTGGAAGATTTTCATTCTGGACAGTTTGGTTTCAATCATGAAGGGGGCAGGGGGACAGAAAGAGAGAGAAAGACAGAGAAGGTAATTTTTAGCTGCCTCTGGGTTCTTAATAACTGTCATAAATAACCCATACCTATTTTAGAAGTTCTGTCTGGACTAGGCTTTCCCTCTGAGGAGGGAAACTTGATTTCTTTTCTTTCTTGTTATTTTGGATCAAAGAAGGTCTCCTTTGCAAGCCCCAAGGCAAGCAGCAACCTGTTAGAATTTTGTAAAATGATATATTTATTAATTTGTATAATCACGTGTTTGAAAATATAAATGAATGTTATTTTCTCATTTGTTTATGAACTGTGCCACATGGAGTTTTCTGAAACTCTTTAGTAGAAGGCACTGGAAAAAGACAATGCTTGAACCTCCCCAAGTCACCAAAGTGCTCTCCAGGATTTGGGACTATGGACTTTGCCAAAAACACCCCAGTTGATTTGCAAAGGAATCATGTAATCCATTTGAAAGGATTATGGGACTTTTGGCCACTGGATGATACCACACAGGAAACTGCCTGTAATTGATGAGATCAAGTCACACCTCTTGGGCAGTGTACAAGAAGAGCAGTCAGCCCAGTAGTAGGTTCAGTTTAGCAATGGGACAGTCAAGTGGTGGTGGACTACAGACCCTGGGAGAGCCTTACTAAAATGGTCTATTAAAAAACAATTGGTATACTACATCTTCTCTTCCCCTTCCTCCCTCCCAAGCCTATGACACATTCTCTGACAAGTATATACAGAGTCCAGGAGAAGTGTGGACTCAAATTTGGAGTAAAATGGTAGTGAGGGCCATTATATTTCCCTTTAGTGTAGCTCTCTTCTGGGTTCCAAAGGCCTTTGAAGAATTCAGACCTTTTTGTATATACTGAGAGACAGTAAGGAAGAGATTGAGCCTAGAGAAAATGTTATACTACTTCCTTTTGTCTCTT